CTAAAATTAGGATTGAACCCTATGCAATCCAGTTGAGTTGGGTCTCAGTAAGTGGCTCAAAATCCACAAGCACTGGATACAGCGATGACGACGACGAACAACGAAGGCGACGACGACGAACAACGAAGGCGATCCACGACAACGATGGGCAACAACAATTGGTGATGACAATCGACGATTACGGCTTATAACTAATACAGCTCTCGATTTGGGTTCACCAAAATAAGCAATTGGGTTTCAATCTGAACATCAATTCGGCGACGAGACCATGCTCTCGATTTGGGTTCGCCAAAACAAGGAATTGGGTCTAATTTGAACCATCAATTCGGCGACGAGTGAAAGGGAGGTGTGTCGCCGGCTAAGTTACAGTTCCTATGAGGAGTGTGTAGGTATCGATGGAGAGGGGTTTTGTTTGGATTTCAATCCCCGTGTTTCATATTCAACTATTTCTCCGTCAAATGCTTCCTCTGGATATCTTCAATTCTCCGGACAAGCACACACACACACACACACACATATATATAAACACACACATAGAGCTGTTGTTTACGCTGTCGTAGTTAGAGCGACGAAATCTAATCTTACGGTTGGGTTTGATGAAGAAGATAAACAGTGTTTGTAAGAAATGGGCAATATGGTCTTTTTGTTTCACAAGGGTTAAATGGTTATTTAGATAAAATGTGGCATGCACGCGCCAATTAACGATCAAAATTTTTTTCCCGGTGGCCGGACTGGGTAAATTGCATCGAACTAGCATAGTTCAGGGGGTTAATTGCACTTTTTGTAGTTCAGGGGGGTTAATGGCATTTTGGCTAATAGTTGAGGGGGGTTTTTTGCACTTTACCCTCTGATCTATTACCAACATATATGTAATTGTGTGTATATTTCTATTTGTATATACCCTTCACAGTGTTTATTATTACAGTATCTTCTCAAACAATTTTTTCGCTAAGCACGTGATGGCTCTTTTACTCTTTACACGCAAGAAGTTTTAGAGAAACTTTAGAGAATCTGATGTGCCACGCCACGTTAGATTCGATCGTTTTTTCGGGAGTTACCCTTCAGCCCCCTTATCATTTTCCATAATAAAAACAATAAAAAGAAAAAATCAAATGAACATGAGAGTGCAGTCAGGGACGGATCACGGATGTACTGTGGACTCTAGGGGCATCACCCACTGAAATTTTTTGTTATTACATTTTATACTTTCAAATTTATATTTTTTTGCATTTATAACCACAAAATTTTAAAATTGTCACTGAAATTATGAAAAAAAAAAAAACTCCTCTATATAAATTTGTTCCCATCGTATAAATTTCTAGATCCGTTCCTGAGTGCACTGAGATAAACAAACTCTTATTTTGCATTTATATTTAAATGTAGAGTATAAATGAATAATTGCAATTCCTAAATTTAATACTTCTTTTCACCATGTACCATGATCAATTGTGATTTATGTATATGTAAATATTCCAAATAAATGCGTACAAATGAGCTCTAATTAAAAACATAACAATTTGAAAATTTTAAAAATATATTTATAATTATTTAATGAGTAATGACGGAGACCGGTGAAATAGAACAACAAACCTCTCAACAGCCTTCCAACGTATTTGACGAAAAGAAAATTATTAAATGATTTGGAATCATGTACCGGGACACACAACTGCACTTTTTATATATAGACGTTTTCATGAGATTACATATCTCTGTACATAGTCTTATTATCTTCACATATGAACGCGTCGTCATTATATATACTGTATCTCTTCTTACTTAGCCACACCATAGTAACATTAGGGCTGCAAGTTGGGTTGGTCCAACCCAGTTCAGTCTCAACTCAACCTCAACCTGAATCGGGTTGGGTTAGGCTCAAATTGTACTCAACATGGGTTATGGTCATAACCCAGCCCGAATATTTTTAGGCGGGTTGGGTCGAGTTGACGGGTTGAGTTTTTTTAAAAAACAAAATATTTTTTAGAAAATTATATATATATATTATATATATTTGATTATATTATTATTAAAAACAAATTATATATATATACATATTACATATTTTATTTAGGGCAAATCATTTTAGCCTCCCCAATTGTCTCTCTCTGAACTTGCCCCCCCCCTCCCTCCCCCTCTCTCTCTCTCTCTCTCTCTCTCTCTCTCTGCAACAACTGCAAACTACAAAATCTACAAGAATCAGAACTTCAAAACCCATATATTTCAGTTTCATCTATCTGTCTGCAACAATCAAAAGTTCAAAACCCATATCGGCATATCATTTCAGATTGTTCAAAAAATTAAAACCCAGATCTTTCAGTTTCCATCACCCGCTGTTCCAGATCGGGTTCGTCGTTCGCAAGCTTCAACCGCTGTCTCTCAACTCTCAAGTTTGCCCCATTCTGTCTCTCTCTGCAACTGCTAACTTGAATGTATGGGGACGGCGGTAGAAAGAGAAAGAGAAAGAAGAGAGAGGAGAGAGAACGGAGAAAATATATATATATATATATATATATTTGGGTTTTGGGTTAGGTTCGGGTTGAGCCCGAGCCCAACCCGAACATGAACCTGATTTGTAAACTTAAAGTCCAAATTTCAAATTTTCGAGTTGGGCTTGGATTGAGCTGGGTTAGCCCGCCCAAGTTATAGTCCTAAGTGACATATATTTGGAGACCGATCTAGCTGCTGAATGGCAGAATGAGGAGCTTTGCGGAAGTAGAAGTTCGGAATTTCCTAACCTAGCTAAACGACATAAAGCAAACAAAAGTATCAATAATAAGGTGTTGTTTGATAAAATTAAAAAATAAGTATAGAAAATTTTAAGAATTGAATTTTATACAATGAAGTTTTGAATCAATAATTAAAAATTAAATATTTTTTAATATTTTTAAAATTCTTCATTAAGTAAGAAGTTATAATTCTATCACCTAAAATTTTAGGTTATCAAACGGCTTGATTAAATAAATATTTAATTTATTAAGAATTTATCGCACTATAAAATTATCAAACAACACATAAGATAATTAATGTTCATTACCACTCGATGGGATCTCACATGGCCCACTTAGGGCTTTCTTGTAGTTTTTTTAATTAAAATTTATTAGTTGGCCTCAAATGGAAAGCTGAAGTGCTCCCATCCGCACAATTGTTATTGTGGGATCCAAACAAGAAATCTAACTATAAGAGGCATTATATATATATATATATATATATATATATATATAGAGGCTATAAGTGGTTAAAAAGGAAAAAGAGTATAAGTGGGAAAAAGCTTCACTTACTTCTTCGAATGAAATTAATAATAAGAGCCAATAGAGCAAATCAAAATCCCAACTAGCAAGATCAATAAAAAAAAATAATAATAAGATAACAAAAGAATAAAGTGAGAATCCAATCCCATTGAAAAAGATAACAAATAAACAAAAAGAAAGAATAATTGTAAACTAGTGGAGCCACCAAACCAACAATTTAGCTGACTTGTCATCCACCATCAACCCTATCTGAGCAAGACACGTGGGCCCTACAACCCACATGACATCTTGCCATGTCAGCAGAACCAATACCCTTAACCCCCCATATCATACTTCTATAAATATCATCAACCTAAGCCTCTGGTGTAGCTTCAATATCTGGAAAATGAAGCCTCAGCAGCACCTCTTCAGTGATAGCTCTGTGATGGTTGAATCCAAGAAGACGATAGGAGAGGTGCTGGAGAAGGCTTATGAGGCTGCCATGGTGGCCATTTTCCAGACCTGTCGGAAAGGAAGTCAGAAAGAACAAGGTCGTCCGATTCCCAAAGAGATTGAGAGACGAAAAAAGAGCTTCCATGTAGAAGATCCCATCAGAACTGTGATGTTCTTGGGGTCATGGAGCCACACTTAGGCTTGGATTTTAATTTGTAATATATAATATAGAAATTTTAGAGACAATTCGACATATAAATTTATATATGTATGTATGTATGATCATGAATCAATAGCCCTTAAAAATTGTTGATGAAGATATATTATTTGGGTGATAGTATGTATAATAATCGAAGTTGGCATTGTTGTGCCTTTATTGATGTAATAATTGTCTTTATACCTTTTATATGTATATCCCATATCCATGTTTTATTTTGAGACACATATTGTATTCTTTAGACTGTTTAAGGGCAAATTTGGACTTTAAAACCATTAATGCTCCAATTAGGGAATGAGTTTAAAAGCACTCCCAAACTGCTCTTATCAAACTAAAAAACAATATAAACATATAATATAGTTTTGATACCTTTTTTTTCTTTTCAAATGTTTGCCAAGATAAAAAATAAATAAAAAATGTAGATCAATTTCACTAGTCATAGTAGGAGTATAGGACTTGAAAATCCTCAAATCATATTATCACATAGAATATTTTCAAACATTAATGTTAAAACTTTAAAAGTAGAAAACCCTTCTTGGAAAATGGCAATATTTAATTGGACAATCGCAAAAAGCAAAGTATCAACACGAGTGATTGAGCCCCTCAATAAATTTTGGTGATGTAGTAATTTACATTAATTTTTTTTTTGATGTATTGTCTTGAAAATCACAAAGTTGAAAATGTAACTAGTTTGAAAAGTATATTAGTAATATGTTGAAAAATGTACAGTAACACCCCACTATTAGAATAGGTGATGTTCTTGTAGGTTCGACATAGGTTGCAAAGTAGCTAGCTTGAGTTGGCAAAGTTTATGCAATGGGTTCCAGGAAGTATAAACCAAAGTCACATGGAGCGAAAACGAATTCGAAAATATAAAAATGACAAAATTAACACAAAATGAAAATAAGAGCAAAGCGGGAGAGCAGAATCCGTTAAGAAGGATTGTGTAATTTAGGTAAGAACCGTCATAAGGACGGTAAGAATAGTTTCAAAGGTAGATTCAGGAAAATTTGACTTTAGAGGCTCAAAAGGAGGTTTCAGGTTCCATTAAGATAAATACCTGTTTATATCTAAACTATATATCTGAGTAAATGAAATCAAATCCATCAAGCAACATTGATCAATCTAATAAACACTAGCACCAGCAAAGACGCACACGTCCACATTACACATTGCTAATAAATAAAGCCAAACACTCAGGTAGATACCATCTTTTAACTGTTATCCCCATAAAACATTACTAAATAAATAAAGGCAACACAGGTACACATCATCATCAAGCATTTCAGTAACATTTCAGCAAATAACGAGAAAATTCGGTCTCTAGCAACAGCAAGAAAATTTTCCCAAATGGCAATGCATGCCTACTGTAGTCATCATGGCTAAAATTCGCTACTGCTGTCGAACTTCAGCTTTCTTCTTCTGCCAGAGACGATCAACTGCACTGTCAGCATCTCCCTGCAATATAAGTAACAAAATCAGTCGCTATACCCCCCAAGTATAATAACTTCCGCATGTCAATATGCAATCCACCCAACAAAATATCACGGGAAAGATGCTATAGCATGCATTTCAAAGATCATTATGGTCTTTTCTTTTCATAAGGATTAGATAAATCATCCATTCCTAAAACTGCCTTAAAAAGACTAGGAGCATCGACAGTGAAGATCATAGTCATATCATTGCCCTCACCATAAAACGCCATAAGAGGAGGGAGGTTATATGGGTCACAATCTCTATTAATAATTAGAACCAAATCATTCAGAAAGCTATTTACTGAATGAAGAAAACACAAGGAAAAACTGTTAAAAAAGAAATCATGTACATATATAAATATTAATATGGTTAACAAAGTCATTGCCACCTCAAGAAACTAATGGCACTCTCTTACACCAAAAAGAAATTGTTTCATTTTACATGATCAGTATAAGATTGTTATATTTCTATATATGCAATATAAGACTGATGAATCTACAACAAAATCACTCCCTCAGTCCCTCTTCCAGAAAAGCTTCCCTCTCTCTACCAACTTACGCATTTCCTCCCCTTTATTATATATCTACTCACAATCTACCCCTTCCTCTTCCTAATAAATTACCGTCACCCATCACTAATCAAAAATAAAATAAAAATTACCATTACCATCAACCAATTTCATTCTATCCTCTAATTGAGATCAAAGGGAAGTCAAATCATCTAGAGAGGGGGAGATTTCAAGCGTGCAGAACTCTGTGCCTTATTTTTATTGATTTTCTTTCATTTCATTTGAATTATTAAAGATTGAAAGAAACGGATGCATCTAGTAGATTACTGATCTCTAGAGGCAAATATATAACCATAGCCATGAATAGTTCCACAGCATGGTTTTTCAGACTTGCGCGGTGATGAGCACATTTTATATCATGATTACTATCTTTAAATTATAATTACCAGTCCTTATTATTAAATAATTTAATATGTTTATGTTAAACATTTTGTTGTCAGAGATTGTTGGTCTATTGTCTTGTGATTGTGTAGTGTTCTATGAATTTTCTAGTGAAAATGGGCAGCAAAAGACAGCAGCTAGCATGTGAAAATGGACAGCAACTTGTGCAAATGGCCTTTAGTTTATTTGGCTATTTACAAGCGCCACTGTAACTGCAGAAATGGAGAGGGAAAAAAAAAAAGGTGGGGAGAGCTAGGAGTTCAAGGCTGTTTTAGCATATGGTTTTGAGGCTGTTTTTGCAGCTGTTTTACAACAGCTGCTATTTCTTCTTTTCCTTTGCTTATGTTTTCTTTCTTTTGTTTGTTTAAAGTGTTAGTTATTGTAGGTGCACAAAATTTTGGACCGAACGTGACAGTTCGATCAGAAGAGAATTCTATGCTCAAACACTCGTTGAGAATACAATTAATCAATAAATAAGAAAGAAAGAGATCAAGGAAGAACAAGAACTAATAGTGCCGAGAATGGTCTATCTTCTCTTGGGTCTTGCCCTTTGTATTTATATTCATACAATGAGACTTTTTTGGAACCGTTATTTGTACATTACATATATAGATTTGATTTTCTGCTGATTCTTTGTGATTTGCTGGTGAGCATTACTCTCAGCCGTGTTGACCAAGGCCTTCGGATTTGGGCTTGCTGGGCTGATCCTTACTTCATGGGCCAAATCAATGTCTGGTGTGTTTCTTCTGGGCTTTTGGCAAATTAATATGTCCTGGGCTTCTTTCCTCGGCCCAATGCATTTGGCTGGCCCTATTGTTTGGTTTGCTGCCATGTGTCGTTTTGTGAGTGGTGGGAAAATTTCCCTCCACAGTTATGTCGTTCCAATTTCCTCGACTAGGGTTGAGGAGGAAACCCCATTAATGAAATGGTCTTCTAGCAAAAGATTGTTTTCACTTTCTTTCAATTATTCTTTTTTTTTTCTTTTTTTTTTTTTGACAAGTAAGAATGTATTACAAAGCATTCAAGAGTCAAATTATTTAATTATGATTTAGCATACATTTCTAGCTATTGTAGATCTAAATGATAAATGTTAAATCGATGAGTACTGGTACATTCTTCTTTTTTCTTTTTTCTTTTTTCTTTGTTCTTTTTTGAGGAAAAGTTAACAAAATTTGTTAGATCATTGTACAAGGAAAAATTAGGAACCAAATCCCACAGTTAGATTGATCTTGTGCAAGGTAAACATATGAATTTTTAATTCTTTTTATTCTTCTCAGATTTTTTGTTTAAAAATAAAATAGATCAAACTAGCAGAAATACAATACATATTGAACTACTTAGTAAGTCAACAATACTTAGGAGCATGACAGAGAGGACTCGTGAAGAAGAGAATGATGACAAGTCAAAGCAGGTAAGGAATTTTGAACGAGAGGAAACTGACGATAAGAATAGGGATGAAGGTGATGGAAACGGCAATAATACTGCTAAGACAATGTTGACGATGATGATGACAAGAGACAATTATTGATTTGAATCTATCCATTTTATTTTTCATTATGTCAATTTCGCAATGCTTGTATTGATTAGACAATTTAGACCATATTAAATGTTCAAGCAGGTATATTTTGTTTACTTGATGGAACAATTTTTCATTGTTATCTTTCCAAAAAGTTCCAATTTTCAAGAAGATTTTGATCAATTTTTCATTATTATATTCCCAAAAAAAAATCAATTTTACAAGATTTCAACCCTTGTATCTAGGGTATCACCTAATACAAATCAATGATGTATACTAATGAACAAGTGGCAGCTCCTTGATTTTCTTTTTATTATTAATTTTTTTTTATTTGATAAGTAGGCAGCACCTTGAATTTTCAAGGTGAACATCACTCATGATTGTTTCAACACATTGATAATTTCTGACATATTCCTTATTACTTTTTCCTTTTTGTTTTATGTTGAGAACTAGCAATATTTAAAGACATTTGTGCATGATTGTTACCCATGTCTGTTATATATGGTCATTTTTTGTTGACCGTGTGGTACTTGACACGGATTGTTCATGCATTTAGAATAGTCCATGCAACATATTCACTATCAAAGCAACATACAAGTGTCTCTCTTATTTGTGCATTGGTGAAAAAATAGTATTCTGAAATAGTGACCACACCTTTAAGACCAGAGAAATTAATGAATGATGCAATATCAAATGTGAATCTATATTAGTCAACTTTTCATAAAAATTGATGCTGCAATTTTCCCTATCTATCCTAACATATCCAGTACAGCGACTTTAACCATGCTTACATCAGTAATATTTGGCAATGGAAGGAAATATTTGGCTATGATGCCAAAATGGATAAAAAAGTTAGGCAGACCCAGATCTGAAAAATTAACATTTCTAAATACGAAATGCATGCAAAGTTAGAAGAAAATCTTCCCATCATCAGTATAAACAACCCATTACCCATGCAAAAATATAAAATAACAAAAAAGGCATAAACACATATCAAAACTAAATGAGCTAGAGTACGAACCTGGGCCCGGACAAAACCACAAAGAGCAAAGGTGGTAAATTGACCGGTATAGATACCGTTCTCATCCAGATGTCCAATATTAATCTGCACAGATGCGTGGTCCTTTGAAGTAATCAGCCTGTTTGTTGCTGAACTGCAATTGCATGCAAATTTTGTAATTAGCATGAGTTAAATTAACCACGATGTTACTGTTGCTGTGAAAAGATATAGCATCATATACCATTTCCTAGGGATGTAAAGATCCATGTTTTGCCCCTCATCGTTCTGCATCTTTGCTGAAGATCTAAAAGCTCTATAGAAGATCCAAAAACCTAATCCCACAACATTAATAATCAGAAATTAAAAAATATATATATAAACATATAAATTTAGAAAATCTAGACAGTGGTTTTGTCAGACAGTCCAATGTTTTAAATTGTCAGAATTTTTTCCCGTTTAATTATATACTCATACTTGTTTCTTGCTGTGATACCAGTTATTAGCTACTTTAGTAAGGAGTGCAATATAAGGCTGTAATACCACCGTGACCACCACTGACCAGCACAAATTCCACTCCCACCACCACTATCACTGCCTCTACACTATTGCTTGCACCATCATAACAATAGCGCTGTTCGTCACAATTATACTATACCACTAGAAATGTTTTATTTTAGCATTCAAGACATGTGGGATATGTGCCTTTTAAAGTTTCAAATGCTTGCTCAAAAAATAATGATTTTAAATTATGGGATAATATCACTTACCTCCCTCTCGAGGTTAGGCCTAATTATAGGAAGTACCCCTAACATTTTAAAAATAACATAAACCTCCCTCAAATGTGTTCGGTGGAATCCATATTAAATGACTAATATATCCTTCATTTATAAAATAAAAAATATTAGCAACAGGTGAAATGACAAAGCTACCCACAAACTCTCTCTTCTCTCTCTCAAACATCTATTCACTTTCTCTCTCTCTCACATCACTACCTCCATTACACCTCCACCACTCCAACCACCATCTCCATCACCCAATGCCCACCACCACCACGCCCAACAGTATCACCGTATTCCACCATCACCCCTACCCACTACCCACCCTCATCCAAGCCCGAAGGCACCACCACCGCCTTGTCCAACCACACTAATCTTCATTGTTCAAAAAAACCTATTAAGTGAACAGTTCCGGCGACCTTCATTCCTTCCATTATTTCCGGTTAAGATACTACAAAACCAAAGCTGCAGATCCACTTCCGATAACGGCTTTCACCAAACTGAGCAACTTCAGTTTTGGGATTGTTTTCCTTGATTCTCTTTTTTTGTTTCATGAAAAAAAAAATAAAAAAATAAAAAAAAAAAGAATCAGTTTCTAATGTTTGTCTTGTGTTTCCCCATGAATCATAAAAAAAATAATAATAATAATAATATCGATTTATAAATTTGTGATGAAAAAAAGTTTGCCACAAATTGCCAATGCAATCAATCCGTTCCCCCACAAACATAGGGCAAATCGATGGACGTCGGAATCGATGGAGCCCATAGTCGTCGATGGATGGGAGAAACTAGTTGATGGGTCTGTCTTCACCGTCAAGTTTGGTCGTTGTTGATGGTGCTTTCCGGTCAGAGAGTGACCAGTATATATAATATATGTATATATAGAGAAGAGTTGAACCATGTATATACATGGGGAAAAAATCATGCATACAGATTAGGAGGTTTTCCAAATTAGAGTTTAGAGAGAGAAATGAGAGGTTTTGGAAATAGAATTTAGAGAGAGAGAGGAGAGGTTTCGGTAATAGAATTTAGAGAGAGAGAGGAGAGAGCTTGAGTTAGAGAGAGCTTGAGTTAGAGAGAGATTTAGTTAGAGAGAGAGTTAGAAAGGAGACAGCCTTAGATTTAGTAAAACGTGCAATTTTTTATCCTTACAGTTAGGGTAAATAAGTAATTTTTTATTTAAAAAGAGTTTCTAGGGAGTTTATAAGGGTAAATGTGGTATTTCACATTAAAAAAGGATGACATCAGCAAAAAAAGGTCATTGACGGGCTACCGGAAGGGGCAAAGTGTTATGTCGGAGCCAACTTTGAAGGAGGTTTCTGTAATTTTTGAAACGTTAGGGGTACAGCTTGCAATTAGGCCTAACCTCGAGGGAGGTGAGTGCTATTTCCCTTAAATTATTGATACATTTAAAAGGTATTGGGCACATATTTGCAAGGAGACGCGGCGTCCAATATCAATATTATACGAACAAGATTCTTTAAAAAACCCGAGTATCTAAAAAGACTAAAATCCTTGTTACACATTTCCTTAACATCATACTGTAATACGATACTATTCACACACTCCATTAGTGTATATGATTATTCTTTGAAATTTAATCAACTAATGAACTATGTTTTAAACAAGAAAAAAAATAGTAATTCAATAAGTTAGTTACAAATTAATATTCATAAAAAAAATTCACCCAATTCTAAACAATAAATTAATTTGTGTCCTCAACTTTTTCACTTCGAAAAAAAAAATTAAACGATTTTTTTGTAATGTAGTGCAAGCTATGAGCAACTCCTCTTCCTCGGCTAAAAATTGGAGGGTAGTACAAGACTGTGAGTGTGGAGTTTCCGAAACAATTACAGCTCTACTTTAATTTCAATAAAGTGACGTCAGTATTTCAGAAAGAATATAAGTACGTTTTATATAACCAAAAAAAAAAAAAAAACAGGGTTAGACACAAATAGAATCACATAATCCAAAATTTCTATGTTGCCTTCAAAAGCATGGATCGAAATTCAAGAGAAATAGTTCATGCTTTAAACTAATTTTCATCTAATTCCAATTCGAAAAAATAAATCCCAAACATAGCAAACCCCAATTCATGAATGTTATTGTAAAAGCAATAAAACACTCGCAAAACTCATAGAACGAGATTATCAAAGTATCCATATATAAGGCGGTTGAATGTTCCAATATCCTCTAAATCTCATCTTATTGAGTGTTTCAAATACATAAAAATAAATCAATAAACATACACTAGGATTTCAATATCTGTCGGTGAATCAAATCTCACACACACACACACACACATATATATATATATAATACAGAGAGAGAGAGGGTGTACCTGAGACGTCGATACCGCGTATGTGTTTGGGAACGGGAATGCGCTAGAGCGGCGACTGAGACTTCAGCTCACAAATATAAGTGAGATAAAACCCTAACGTCATGTGTATACTTAGGGCCTGTCTGGAAGGTGGTTTGTTATTGTTTTGGGTGTTTTAGTTTTGCATTTTGGGCCCATATTACGTTTGGAGTGGCCTGCTGAAGTATTGAACAGTAGTAAAACATTTCCAAAATAATGACCCAAACCCATATTACCAAATTGGTGATATTGGGTGATGTGGTCACTGTAGCGGAGATATCAGGCCCAAAAACTGATATCAAACTTATATTAGTTACTGTAGCGGCCATAACAGGTATAAAACCTCGTGTTTCAGAAATCCTACCCATTTTCTCCTCTCATTTCTCTCTCTTCTCGCAGCTCAGTTGAGGCGATTTAATGGGCGATTCTTCCTTTAATATAAATTTGGGCTGTGCTCTACAACTGCAAGTAATTTTACACTTTGACATTTAAAATTAAAATTATATTAGATATAGTCCATGGTTCTTTTTTTCTTCATACTTGGAACTTCTTCTTGTTTCTTTTTCTTTTTTTCCAGGTAAGTTCATACTTTGAACTTTGATAGCACAACTGCATTTTTCTTCCCTTTTCCTGAACTTATTCAGATGAATTGTTTGGCTATGATGGTTGCTTCATTTCAACACTAAGAACAAATTAAATGTTTTTTTTCCTTGGCTAAGGAAGTTTGGAAGTGCTTCATGTCTTGCTGCAAATGGGAGGGTGTCCTTCAATATGCTAATTTGCAGGAGGTGGTCCAGTGGTTTGAAGCTCAAAGTTGCTAGAAATCTGTTTTGTGCCATTTTTTGGCAAATTTGGAGTAGAGAGGAACTCAGACTTGGTGAAGACAAGAAGAGAGATACTGGTTTGCTTTGATTGCATTCAGTTCCTTGGGCTCGGTATAGAAGATTGATTTTGGTAGTATTTTTTGTTTGATCTTTGGCTGGAGTACTTGCTTTGTACCTCCAGTGTGTATTTTGTATCAGGAATAAAATTGGGATATGTGACCTGTTTGTTACTAGATCTTGATCTTGATTGCAACGCTTTATCTTCTTGATGTCAATGAAATTGCCTTTTAATGATGACTGTTTTAATAAAATTAGCAACTTTGCAAAATTAGCAACTGCGACTCTTCTAATAAAATAAAGAAAGAAAGAATTTTAAATTATCAAAAATCATAAAAATAACAAAATAAAAAAATGAACTATTACATATAAATTTATAATTATATTAATAAATAGTATTTACCGACAACAAAAATAACTTTCCAAATGCTATTTTCTTTTCTTCAAATTATCAAAATACAAAACAGTCGTTACCAAATATGATTCTGATTTTTAATAAAAACACACCAATATCAAAACGATTGTTTTCATATCATATCAAACAATAACTCTTATTTGATATCGCAATCCAAACGGCCCTTAGCATTTTCTAAATATGTTCTATTTTTATATATATATAAAACTTAAATCATTTCTGGTTATTTGTCCCCTCACTTTCTACATTTGACGAGACACATGCACATAACATAAAATATAAACCCTCACTTTCTACATTTGAAGGGAAACATGCCTGTAATATAAACAAGAAAATGAATCCTTCATATATTTGTTGCGTAGCTTCCGCATTAATTGTCCACTTTTTATTTTAGCTCTTCCAAAGTAATTGTTCTTTTGTTTTTTTTAGCTATTTTGGACAAGTGTATCAACCTCATAATATATATATATATATATATATATATATATATATATAAAACAAAAATATGTATACACATTTATACATGAAAGTAAAATTTAGATAAATTTTTCTAAACAAATGACGTGTAAAGAATTGTATTAAAAAAATATAAGATCTAGAATATGAGAAATATACCATTGTTGATATTTTGTGAGAACGGAAATTTTAAGAGAATGCGCGAATTAGGATATAGAATATAAGAAATATACACTTGCAGATATTTTTGCAAAGAGTAGAAAAATTTAGAGAAGCTTTCATTGCACTATAAATATCACAAAGTGGTGGGCTATCAAAACCAAGATAAGCCCTCTAATTTTCAAATCTCTAAATTTTTTTATTATAGAAAAAACTACACTTCTCCTCTATAGAGCAATTCATATCAAAAACTTAAATGACAACGTTCTGAGTGGGCACGAGTTGTAACATTTTATGGAGTAATTTATTATCGCTCTTGAACGACAGCGTTTTTAAGCATGTATTTCTTATTTATAACCTTTCATTAGCTAATTTGCCTCTAATATTGAAATTTTAAGTGTTGAATGTACTAATTTAAAAATCTATTTGATAATATTTTAATTTTAAGCTATCAAAATATAAATGTCTCAAAATTGTTAACTTAAGCTAAACATATAAAATTTTAAGTTCGAGAACTAGATAAATCATTTGCAATTTGATCACACAAACTAACCATAAATACTTGATCGAATTGTCTTTTTGTGGTGTCAATTTTAGATAATGTCAAATTTTCAGCAATATTAGGTGGAGTCTAAAATTGAAAATCCTCTATTATTCAAAAATTTCATTTGTGACAACAGTCTTTCGAAAGTAATTGCGAATAACTGCACAAGCAATAACGATATTTCTCTGCACTTCAAATTTATAAGGTGTCATCCTTTTCAAGATTGGAAAACAATCCAAATGCTCATTCAATCACATTCCTTAGCTTAAAGTGTGCCTGGTTAAATAGCTCTTTTTTTGTCATGGGGTGACCACCATTTCGAAAGTTAACTAACCAATATTGTACATTGCGATAAAGTACCATAAGGGCCTGTTTGGTATGTGTAATGTTTTGTGGTGTAGTGTTCCAGACCTGCTACAGTACCACAAATAATATTTATTTACAATGTAATGTGTAAAAAAAAATAATAAAATGCATGATAAGTAAATATATATTTTTTCCTTGCACGATAAATAAATATTCAAAAATATTATTATTAAAAAAATTTGTAGTAAAAAGAGCTAACGTGGCGAAGGATATGAAAAAATATTCAATTCTTGTTGTGTATGAAAAATTATTCAATAATTGTGCTATCATTCATAGTTTCCGTTAGTCATGTGCCACGCATTTCCAACCAGCCAATATAAATATAAAATCAAATTAAAATCACGTATTGCAAGTATGTTTTGATAGCATTCTCCTTTCCTTCTTTCTACACGTTCCATTAGTAACATCCCAAAGCATATTTTGCTTGTGTTTAATCTTTCCCAATTAAAAATTACGTTGGAATTTTTTAGAAGTAGATTTATTGAATTGGTTCATCAATAGTGTTGGATCAGAATCCGACTCCGAGTCATTGATTCCACCATTATAGTATTATGAGTGAACAATAATGAATAATTCCTTCATATTCATAGAGATAGGGGACACAATTCACATGGATATAGTAAGTTTAGTGGTAGTTTTTAAATTTTCCCTTTCGCGGGAAGAAATGGACCCCGGAAGTACTACTAATTAATGCATGCAACCCAAGTTTGTATGCAAACCCTTTTTAGGATGTCTCAAGAGAAATTCTTGAAATTGTCTCGAAGAATTTGGCAGATTCAGCATTCTGAGAAACTAATAAAAGACATCATGGTAGCGGAGAGAGTTTGATAAGGGTCTTCGACGACACAAAAGTGTTCTAAATTCTGCCTTATTCCATGAGATCTTAGTACTGCAGCCACAACGATGCTGGGCTATGTGGTCAACTTCGGTATCTACTAAATCCAGTTGATTTTCTTCCATTTCTAAAGTCGAATTAGTAAACAAGAACTTAACTAGCCTAGGGGCACTCGAATTTTCAAATAATAATATCAAATACCAGCATATAAATCAAGAATTCATAAAACCCTCTATGAAGTCCATCCAAAAATATAATTGTAGAACATATAATTGAATGATCCTTGTGCAAATCTGCACAGTTTGAAGCACCGCTGGTGCCATTTGCATGGCAACGGAAGCGCCAATGCATAAACATGATTCATTACTCACTATTAGGAAACCATCATAACATCCAAGAGAAGACAAGTACAGAAGAAGAATACCAGAGTGCAGGAATGTCTGGGGAATTCAAGGCTCATAAAATAATGAGTTTAATTTCTTGAACAAGATTCATAAACCCAAAATGCAAGCATCAAACTTAACTCAAATCATGGTTCAAAATAGTCATTCAAACCAAAAGCCTAGGCAGAACCTTCCTCCGGCTTTACTTCATCTGGCTTTTTTGATTGCGGCAAAGGAGGAGAACCCTCTGCTCCCATCTCTGTTCTGAGGTCATTGATACTCTGCTCTAACTCATTTATGCGGCTTCCCATCTCATCAAGTACATTGCAGTTAAGGAAAAAAGGATCACCAACAATCCACATCATGTTTGTAAAGAACCAAATGGGCGCCTTGAACAAAATTTTCTCCAATTCCAAAAGGCACCGATTTGGTGCTCCCAAACGAAATGTTACTGTTTTGTACAGAAAAGCAACAATATAGCAAACTGCTAAAGATTCCAAACTTTGAGAAACCAATGATAACCTACCAGACACTAGACATGATTAACAATAGAATAAAATTTCTTTCCCAGCCAGACATCCTGGCTCAAAAGGTCAAAAATATATGGCCTCCAGATATCTAGGGTGGCCAGCAAATTTTATATTATCTAAAGATACTAGAGAGGACATTAGGCTAAAATTATGTATGTTTGTTCCCACTAGACTGATGCCCTTACCAATTAAGTACTATTTGGAGGTCATGAAAAAATCAGCTGAAAAACAAGTTTATCTATCGCAAATAGTATGTCACATATTTTGGGAGAATTGTTTTATTTCCTTTAGTTCATCCATATTTTATTGTGATTACTATAATTATTCCTATTATTAATTTTTTATAATAATAATAATAATATTGTTTTATCTACTTCATTAATGTATACTGCAGAACTTACTAACATCAAACTATTAAAACTCAAAATGCAGAAAAGGATATTCTTTGTAACAATAGAGTCCGACATTGTCTGAAATCTAGCTTGCTGCAAAATAAAAAAATTAAAAAGGGATGAAGTCAGTGATAACAATGCTCTAACGTATAATTTGAATTATACCTACCAAAAAGAAAACAAAACAAAACAAAAAAAGAAAAAGATCTGCACTGCAACTCACCATTTGCTGAAGAAGATTTTGCACCTGGAAAGGCAATGCAGAAGGGTTAGTAGTCAACATCAAGGCTTTCATATGGAAGAAACAATCAAAAATCAGAATAAAATTTCTACACCCTTTACTAGACTAATCTGGTGTTACCGTCTTGAATTAACCACAAATGTATGTGTTTTTTGTGTAAAAAATGTTAATCACTTCTCCCTATTGGATTACAAGCCAATAATCTGAAACATTACTTACTAAATAGTTGCCACTTGAGGACCCTGTTGTTGCATGTGCCTTATGGTCCCCGTTAATTGAGAGTTTGAGAGAGGTAGATTGGATGAGGATCTAACATTTGGTATATTTGCACAAAATGATTGCTCTCAAAGATTTGAACATGTGCTCTCACACTAGACAATCTGAGCATATACCCAATAGGCAATGGCCCCCAGCCATGAGAGAAGGTAACATTTGAAATTATACATACGATTCGTCTTCAAATCATCTATAACTTCCCCAATGCATCTTTGTTTCTCAAATCTCAACCATTAATGTAATAGGGTTTTATATCATTATCAAACTTCCATAGAGGAGGTAACATTTGCAATTATGCATTCCATCTGTCTTCGAAACATCTATAACTTCCCCAATGCATCTTTGTTTCTTAAATCTCATCCATGATCCATGAATGTAATAGGGTTTTATGTCATTATCAACTTTCCATAAGTCCATAGCCAATCTCCATGAAAATCATAAATCTTCAAATAAAATGTACTCACTGGAATTAAAATGAAACCACTGGATCATTTAATAAATTGAAATAGGAAGTTGTCCCATTTTTTAGCCAAAATGAAATGTTTCAGAATATGTTCGCTGGTAATCTTCAAATCCAACCGTACTCACTGGGATTAAAATAAAACCACTGGAGCATTTAATAAATTGAAACAGGAAGTTGTCCCATTTTCTAGCCAAAATGGAATGTTTCAGTGTTCACTGGTACTATCTATTTTTTATTCCACAATTATCTAATTGTTAATAATACAACAATAAATTAGGCATGCAAGGTGAGCGATCACCAATCACCCATTGGTTTGACCACACTAGGTGTTCAAATAATATGATATAAAGAACAGAGAACATCCGTTGTATGAAGCATACAAAGGCACGAACATTCCAAAATGGAATGTTTCAGAATATGTGCGCAGGTAATCTTCAAATCCAACCGTAATAATTGGAATTAAAATGAAACCACTCGAGCATTTAATAAATTGAAATAGGAAGTCCCATTTTTTTAGCCAAAATGGAATGTTCCAGAATGTGTTCGCTGGTACTATCTATTTTTTACTCAACAATTATCTAATTGTTAACAATACACAATAAATTAGGCATGCAAGGTGAGCACCCATTGGTCTGACCAACCTATGTGTTAAAATAATATGATATAAAGACTTATCAAAAAAAAAAACAAATGATATAAAGAACAGAGAATAACTATACAAAGGCATCAGCAAACTATTTACACCTTCATAAAGACTACAAAGCCATAAAATTTCTTATAAGAATTACTCACAAAAGCCGTCATATCAGCAGTGCTTTGTTTTGGATCTTCTGAATCATGTCCGTCCTGCCAGCAGAAGCAGTGACAGGATTACTGTTACATGTCACATAAAAGTACAAATACAAGCCACGTGATGGAATAAAGAACACAATTTACTATCAATTAAACTGTAACACAAAAATGAAGAAACCAACTTGACCAAACTCATGAAATTATAACACCAAACAACTGTATTTATGTTGTTCTACTTGATCATCCTCGTGTCTCTATCCATCTTTCTACCACATTGCTCACAACCTTTTTTTTGCAGGTCATTGTCCCAGGGGTACTACAAGCTATGTCCTCAAGAAAGAGAAAAGGGAACTTAATTTGTTTTCCTCTATTTCTTTAAGGCTTGAATTCAATTTGATTTTGCATGATTCTAAATCGGAAATGGTCAACTTATGTGGAAGCTTGACTATTCCTTGAGTTTTTTCCATTTCTAACAAAACATTTAAACTATGTTTTCAGTATGTGTTGATAGAAAGTTTTTGTTGCAATTGTTTTGGAGAATGTTCATATTGACTTATGGGTTCAGACCACAATTTTTGTAATCAGGACATCAAAGGGTATGCATTGTTTTAGTTATTTTCGGGAAACTGGAAGTTGAGACTTGTTTTTAGCACCGTGTTGTACTCGGTCAACCTACTCTGAGTGTAGTCTAATTGGTTGGTATGTTGTTGACAAACAAATAATCTTGAAGAGTCCTACTAAACCATTGTGATGCTTGTTGTTTGCTTTTCTCTTTATTTTCATATTACCTTCTTCCCTACCTATGAAAGCATTACCTATAAAAGCATTTAAGAGACAACCAACTAGATGTATGGAAAGTTGGAAACTCACTTTTATCTTCTATTCCCTTTTCTTTTCTTCTTTTTTTTATATGAATGGAAGATGTAATCTCCGGCAGTGAAGGTTGGATGAAGTTTGTCCGTGCGTGGAAAGTTGGAAACTCACTTTCATCTTCTATTCCCTTTTCTTTTCTTCTTTTTTTTATATGAATGGAAGATGTAATCTCCGGCAGTGAAGGTTGGATGAAGTTTGTGCGTGCGCCTGATCCTCGTATTTTAATTGCAGCCTTGTCATAAACTATCGCAGCCTCTTCAGCAGTGTCATAGGTCCCTAACCAAAGCCTAGAACGCTGGGACCGATCTCGAATCTCTGCCACCCACTTTCCCCATGGCCGCTGCCGAACGCCATGGAACTTTTCGCAATTTTTAATCAATGTTTTGTTGCAACAAGTTTGAATAGCAGTCTCAGTAACATGCTTCGTCACGCTTGTAGGACTATCCTCTTCATCGCTCGATGAGTCTGTTGCATCACCATCGGTGACAAATATGCGAACAACACGAGGCATTTCGATACTCATTTCAGCCAAGAACCGCTTGTCAGATGTAACATTCCGGTGTACTCTGTATTTGATTGGAGACGAACTGTTTAAATTATTCCCAAAAATTTCATATATATATATATATATACTCGCAATGTTACTATCATAAATCAGTAACTGTTTTAGGAACTGAATAGGCATTCAACAGAAACAAAAAAATACTGATAAATGATCGTAAATCAAGGAGGTGATTTAACAAAACCAGAAACTAGAGAGAGTGTTTGTGTGGGTGCAAAGAGTAGAAGAAGTAAAGTAGAGACTAGAGAGATAAAAGGAAGGTGAAGGGCGAGGTGTTTTAAATGAATGGAAGATGAAAGTGAGTTTCCATACATCAAGTTAGTCGTCTTTAATGCTTTAATAGGTTTAAGTGGTGTTTTAAGTAAAGAGAGTGAAGGAGGATAAAGGTAGGGAAGAAGGCAATACGAGAGCAAAGAGAAGCAAACATGCATCACAAAGGTTTATTAGAACTCTTCAAGATTAATTTAATCGTCAACAATAAACCGACCACTTACACTGCCGTCTAGCACGGCTCTTGCAGAGACAGACACTGCAAAAAAAAAAAAAATTGTCCCAACTTCCACCACCCCAAAAATGATTAAAACAATATAATAAAAAATACCATGAAAAAAACCGACTAAAATGTCCCCTTTGTTGCTTAAGAAATCCTTAAAACTGTTTCTCACACCAAAATTGCAGACTAATTATGCCCAAGATACTGCATCCTTAGTGAAACAACATCCATCGACCTAAAGAAGTAAAAATTAGCAGAAATATCATATAAATAAAACTCGGACAACGTGATATGTATCATGCAGATCAGTATTGCAGATGCTTTCAAATGAAATTTGACAAATTAATTCACATTTGAGAGGAAATCATATTTTTAGCTGAAAACTTTTGTGTATTCGTTTCAACCACACTAATACTCAAACAACTATCATAATCAGTAAGACCTAAAAAATACAGTCTAGCACAATAGTACTTCTTCAAAAACCCAGAAGATATAGCATACATGATAGGAGTCCATAGTTTCAGAACAATATCAAATCTAGACAGACAGATTTCACAAAACAGAAAGCAAAATTATAAGATTCACTGCAAGAATTGTAAACATTCTAAAAGAGCATATATATTAGGGTTTCAGAATGAAATCGAATTCTCAAAACCCTAAATTCCGAGATCAAAATCTGAAAACCCTAATCATACAAATTACTTACGTGATATAGATAGATGCATGTTATAGAAGAATTCAAACATGAACGAAGCATATGACAGAGGAAAAGGCTAACCATTCTTTGCTGGTGAATTTCTCTTGCTATCTGAACTTTCAAAAGAGCAAAAAAAATTCTCCCTCCACTATCTGCTTTGTTCTTCTCTGCAATGTGTGCAGGTAAAGAAATGACCTTTATATATTGTATGCGTATGGATTTTGAACACTTGTAGTTTTATATAATTACCGTTTTGCCATTGATGAATTAGAAGCTTTTGAGTTAACCAAAATGACTAAACTATCCATCAGATTTTTAATTGGTACGATGTAAGAATCCTCATAATTAATTGTTATCATAAGTGATTTTTTATTTTTTTTTTATTTTTTTTTTTTTGCTTGTGAGCATAGTTTAGAAAAATAATGTCTCAAACGCATCTCTTTGATGTGGTGAATTGCAAGTAATAGGTCCTTACAAAGGTCATATGTCAATTTTTAACAACGCAAAAAAATTTTAACTTAGAAGATCCTTGTATGTTATTTTATAGAGTAAAAAAAATTATTTTTTTTTTCTTATATAGATAAGATTTTTGTACTAAAGTATGCTCACAAGTCTCTTGAGGAATTAGTTTTATATATATTTAATTTTACATTAATTGTATAAGGTATTTTTTTTCAAATTCGCACGGGTACAAAGTTTATATAATTGAATTATGATAACTACATCAACTAACGACTTAATATGTGATACTTTGAGAATGTGATTATCAAATTTATTAGATTAAGTTTTTTCTTTCATTTGAATTGTTAATCATGTGGTCTTCATTTTAGTTTTCTTACATGCACAATTAATGGCATAAAATATTTATATATAATAAAATTTTGGGTAAATTGCACAGACACCTCCTGAGGTTAGGTCATATTTCAGCTAGATGAAAATTTTGGTTTTAACTTTCACTTACACCCAATCATGCGAATTGACCATTTTACCTTTAATTTTTTAATACAAAATATATGTAATCTTAAATGACAAAAGACCACCTATTCCTATCCCTATCCCACACCACCACCACCAGTTCTTGATGAAATAACTTGAGCAAATGCGCGGCCGAAATAGTCAGCGAATTGCATGAGTTGTATATCCTACTGCGATTCATAAAAAGCTTACACAAACCATGACGGAATTCAAATTTTTGAACACAACAAACACAGAATTGAATTCATATACAATTTCAAACAATAGATCACAGTCCACCAAATCAAATTGATACAATATAGAAAGAGAATCGTAAACTCACAGTTATTTCATCAACAAGAACAGAAAGATCAGAGGCATCAATATTCACCGCGGCGTTGGATACAAAAAGCTTTGGTTTCTTTGGCTTCAACTTCTTCGCCTTTGTACCGCCATTTTCAACGCCACTAAAGGCTTCTACATCATTGTCGTCTTCTACGTCGTCATCGCCATTTGATTTGACAAATCGTCGATAATGGGGAATCGATCCCTTCTATTTCTCCTGCCGCCACCGCAACCACCTCCACCACGACCTCTTTCACCACCGCCACGACTGTAGCTACCTCTCTCCATTTTCTCAAACCCTCGACGAAGGATCTATGTGTGAGGGTTTGTGACCTGTGAGAGAGGGGGTTTTTTATACGGGGGAAAAGAGAGTGGGCTGTGGGGGTAGAAAATAAGGAGGAGGAGGGAGAAGGGAGAAGGGAAAAGGGAGAAGGGAGAGAGAGGTTAAAAGGAGAGGTAGAAAGGGAAAGAGGAAGGTTCACAGAGAGGGGGGCGGTGGTGAATGAGATGGGTAGTTTGGTCACAAAAAATAATCAATATGAGGTCAAAGGGTAGTATAGTCCTTTAACACCTCAAAAGTACTCTGATTCTATCAAAAATTGACATTTGGGGTGTAAGTGAAATGCTAAACCACTAATTCAAATATAAGTGAAATGTAAAACTAAAATGTTAATATATGTGTAATATGACCTAACCGCAGAAGATGTGAGTGTAATTTATCTTAAAATTTTAATACATTCGTTTGGTTCAATTTACTTGGTGATTGGACAAAAATTTCTAATAAATGAAAGAGTTTGAATTAAAATAGCAAGAAAAAACCAAATACAAATAATGAGATATTTTAAGGTAAATAATTTCAATAAGTTATATGGACTTGGATTTATCAAATCTCAAATGTTGAAAAAACAAGGGAATATTACTTCAAATTAAAGAAATATAATTCAAACCCAAAAGCTTGGCTATTGAACCTGTGGGGATACTCTTGTCATTTGAGGTATGCATTTCAAACCAAAAGGTCGACTTTGACTTGCTCATGAAGACTCCATGGGCATTGTAGTCATTCAGCACTTGATGCCAGAGTTCAATCCCCGATTCCCCCATTTATTCAATCCCCGATTCCCCCATTTATTGTCGATTCTCGAGCGCCATTTGTATTCAAATTTCAAAATTATAGAACCTCATATGGTCAATAAAGAGGGTACTATTACTACTTGGTCCCACGGTTCAAGTTGCAAACCCTTATAGTACAAAATAAATGCAGTAAATAATACTTTTTAATAATTAAAAAAAAATCATACCTTTTACTTTTTAAAAACAAATTAGTCCTATCAATTATCAATAAAACTAATAAATCCTAATGTTGAATTAGACCACACTGAATCTCTTCTATTTAGATCCTTACTAAAAATGAAAGAAACTTTTTTTAAAATTATTCAAAATTTTATATGTACTTCAATTTTTTTTTTAATTCATTCAAGTTTAGTTAATTAAGGAATAAAGCATTCTGAATATAAATTATAATTAACTAATTTAAATTTAGTTTATTGTGCATAGAATTTACTACAATTTTAATACACACATAATTAAAAATTTTAATTTTATATCTATTGTGATAAGGTTATATATGAAAGTCCAAGTGGTTTAGAACTTAAATAGGAAAAAAAATTCAAAAGACTTAGTGGTCTTACTAAAATTTGAAAGGACTTATTTGTCTTTTAAAAGAAAGACTAAGGTGCTGTTTGATAAAATTGAAAATTATGCACTGAAAATTTTAAGTACTGAATTTTAAGCGCTGAAATTTTAAGTGCTGAATATATTAATTTAAAAAGCTGTTTGATAATGTTTTAATTTTAAGCACTGAATTCATTAAGATTGTTTATTATATACAAAAACTGAATTCTGAAAGTTGTATAGATTACATTTTTGCCCTCAATATATGGTACTCATAACAATTTTATATTTATAATATAAAAATATTAATAAAATAACCACATTAATTCACTCAATGAAATATCAATTTAACAATGAATAATAATGTCAAATAATCAAAAAAATAATTGATAAAAATTTAAAATATATGGATTTTGGATTACATAACATTTATGTGGGATATTAAAAAGGGTACTACAAAGATTAAAGAAAGTAAAATTTAAAATATATGGGTTTTGGATTACATAATATTTGTTCTGTAAGATATCGAAAAAGGTGTTACAAAGATTAAAGAAAGTAAAATTTAAAATATATTGATTTTGGATTACATAAAATTTATGTTTAGTATTGAAAAGGATGTTAAAAATTACAGAAAGTAGGTGAAAAAGAATTCTTATGTAGAAATAAAATTCTATTATATAAATACTTGGGTTAAAACAATTTGAATAGGTAACCAAAAGAGACGTGTATATAAGATAATACCTATTATTATTATTATTACTATTATTATTTTGGGAATTTGGTAAAATTATATATATTTTTAAAGTATTTGTTCTAAAAAAAAAAAAAAAAAGGTAACAACCAACCAAATATATATAGAAAAGTTTTTCAATTTTAAACAAATTGCAGAGAGAAGCATTATAAAAATCGTATAGAAAAGTCTATAAGAGGGAGAGTGATTATTGGAGGGTAGAGTAGTCATTAAAAAAATAGTTTTAAAACCTAATTACTTACCGTCTTCTGCGATAAGCGATAAGCAACTCTCTCCAGCTTAAAATTTTGACCTCTTTTAAGCAGTACTTACCATGTTAAGCGGTGTCCTAAAATTTTATCAAACACACTTATTTTTTAAAATCACTTATCGTCATCTGCATTCAGCGCTTAAATAGGAAATCAAACAGGCCCTAAGCCTAGGTTTGGTACGAAAGGAGGTGGAGGAATGGAGCAAACTTTCAATTTTTGGTAAAGAAAAACACAGAAGATGAGAATCGTGACCTTTTATAGGTAATTTTGTATATAAAAGAATTTCTGTTGAGTCCCTAAATGGGTCGTGCCTAGATGGGAGGAGTGAAATATCCCTTCTCGTCCACAAATTTTTTTCCATCCAAAAGTGGAAGAAAAATGAGAAAAATAATATTGTAAATGTTAGTTGGATAAAATAAAAAAAAAAAACTATATTACTTGTATCTAAAAATTTATTAATTTAAATAAGGGTGTAAATAGGGGTGCACACGATTCGATTCCTTACGATTCCAGTCGAAACCCGAACCGGAACCGTTCACAACAGTTCTTTAAAAATGGAACCGGAACCAGAACTATATAGGTATGAAACCGAACCGGTTCCATTCCATGGTTCTCACTGACTGTTTGCTCTTTTTTTCCTGTTGTTCCCTTCTATTACTTATTTGAAGGCTTTAAGCCTTTGAAGACAATAACACACAGAGTAGATCTACAAATTGAACACCCAACAGAAAAGATATTCCGACTATCAGGTAATCGAATAAAAAAAACTAGCAGTGCTTCAATGTGATAATAACAGCTGTATACATCGTTCTAATTAATGATTGAACATTCAAAACGAACAAAAAAAAAAAAAAGAAAAAAAATTGTCTATAGCTGCGACGAGAAGATCTGAAGATGGTGTGTGGGAGTCGGCGATGGCGATGAGAAGTCTGAGATGGTGTGTGGGTGTCAGCGATAGCCGCGATGAGAAGATCTGAAGATGAGAGGATGAGGATTGAGGATTGAGGAGTGAGGACTGAATTGACTGAGGACTTAAGGAGGACTAAAGAATGAAGTTAAGACTTGAGAGGAGGCGACCTGAGGAAGCTAGAGATGAATTGAGAGGAGGCGATAAGTCTGATGAGGTTTAGGTTTAAATTTTGTTTTTTGGTTTAGTGTGGACCACGTGGCTAGCACTAAACCACAAAACCTATATATATAATAGGTAAACAAAATAAA